AAACTTACTATTTATCGATGATTCAAACCTTTTCTTTTCAAGTAATGACTCTACACTAAACTCTATTCATAATTCAACCCATTCGTAACCTCTCTACTCCATCACGGAGACTCAACCCTCTCTTTCCCTCCCTCCCTCCCATCAACCCTGTCCTCCTAGACCCATACAAACGGTACCACGCGAACGCCATTCGGATTATATATAAAATTCACAAACGCGGGATATATCGATTATTTAGTAAACCTTCGGGTAGTGAGGAAGGCAGGTGTCTGATCGATAATACCGCTTATCTCGAAAGAAACGGTAAAGTCATCGACAGGATCGCTACCCCCTCTGCTGGTACCCCAGTCGTCCATATAAAAAACACTGATATACAAAACGTTCACTAGATCGACACTAAACGATCGGTAAACGGCGCGACGAGAAGAAATTTCCAACGGATAAATTCATGCGTTCACGAGAAACGCACGAAATGCTGGCAGTCGTGCGGTTCGTGTAAGCTAACGTTAGCCTGAATGTCTGCGAATTTTTTCAGAGTAACAGCGAAATTCGACCAACGTTCGAGAAGACGCTTTGAATTTTATTGGCAGATTATCCTTCGATTGTTGCGCATATTGGTTTCCGGAAGGCTAAACATTCGGAATCACTGGTATGCTTATGTGAGGTTCAGACTAACGGTTGTCGACGTTACGGAAGACCATAACGTGTCCATTTGCTGAATATGACTAGCTTCCCGAGATACAGGACGTTCGTAATTCGTGAAGTCAAACTCGCTGTAAAAAAAGAAAAAAAAAATACTGAAAGAAGATTTTGCTTGAAACATCGAAAAGTTTTAATAAATACAGATCTAAAACGATTTTGTCGGATTGTCAAGATAATTATGTAGAAAAGTCAAAAACGTGACGAGCAAAATTTAATCGCTACAAAAAGTTTAGACATTCTCGCAATCACAGTTTGAGCGTCTTACATAATTATTTTATTTGACGATCCGAGAAAATTATTTTTAAATTTATCACATAGCTAGAGCTAAGTTTTTAGATGTTTCAGCAAAATCGTCCTTTGCGTGAAGTAACATGGAATTTTAACAAACTTAAATCTTCCCCTCTTCTCATTTACGTAATATATTGCTGTTTCATATTGCTGTTTCGTTTTTTTAAACTGAATTATCAAACACACCTCACTCTTTCACACTGCATTTCAAGAAGATGTCGCAGTGCTGTGCTCTGCGTGGAGCCTGTCTCGTGTAAGAAAAACCCCGCGTCAAACTTCTCGACAATCTTCCCCGCGTGTATCGTCTTTCAAAGATTGTCGTTTCTATCTAAAGATATGACACCGAGAATATCACCGGGGGATATATTTACTTGAATATCAAACCTTTCGGAAATCCCGCTCTTCCACGATAATCCTTGGAAAAGTAGCGCTTTCCAGCTTGTACAATATATTTTTTTATGTCGGATCTTCGTGAATCGGGCGATTCTAACGTTGGCGATTTTACAGCAGCGAGATCTCGCCGATAGTTTCTCGTCGCGCGGTTCCACCCACGTTTTGTTGGTGAAAATAGCAAAAGTACAAAATCGCTATAGTAATTATCCGAATAAAAAAGATTAGCCTAATGTAACATTAACCTTATCAACTACGGAGCTAAGTGCGCCGTCGTGCGTCGACGCACGATCGATGATAAAGACACTTGCTGTCTCTCCTCTTAGAAAAAAAAAAAAAGCAGCAGCTTGCTACGGCACCGTCAATAGCGAAAAAAGGCTATCCTTTTTTCCCCTCCCCTCTCGCGACTCTCATTCTTCTTGTCTTGCCGTAAGTTCATCGCTTTTCTACGTTCCGAGGATCCTCCGATACCAGTTCGATACTCGAAATTCGAATCCGACTGGGATGGGTTTGTCTCCACATGTAATCGCGCACGAAATTATGGTAAAAGAAAAAACTAAGGTGCTCCCCAAATCGCAATATTCTCGGCTTCGCCCCTAATCCACGCCTGCTGCTGACACGTCAACATGATCAGCCATTGCCAAAAATTTCCCTAAATTCTGTAGAAAGGCTCCTACGGTCTCACTAGTTTTCCCTCATTTCCAATGAAATATACTTTAATTATACTTATTGACATTGAGATACTTTGTATATTTGTTGCTTCTAAATTATTAATAAACTTACATATGTATACAGAATTGTTATTCTGTATTATTATATATTTTAATTATTTTTTTCAATAACAACATAACAAAATCAAGTGCGTTAAAGTGGAAAAATGTAAGGTACGTTTTATATCTAAAAGGGACGTTTCGCACTTTGATATTCTCAAAATTTCCAAATTCGAAGATTCTTCAATTTTCTATCATCATTGCATTTAATAAAGTGCGAGTAAAACTGAACAATAGCCGAGAAAGTGCGTTTAGGAAAATTTCGTAAACACGAGGAGCCTTTTGTGATTCTATTTATTACGCAAATCCACGCATTGAAAATAATTCTCGTGATCGCGTCAATAATCCACGTGCAAAGCCACGATAAATAATAAGCGCGTGAATAACTTTGAAGCTACATTGATCCTCTCAGTTCCTTTCTCGTTTTTGTTTGCGACAGGAACTCACAGGAGCGAGTAATAGCGCGCATCGCTGATTCTTATTGAAAATTGAAAGCAGTAGGGAGTACAGGCGACACATGCATCTATTATGCACGCGTCATAAGTCATTAAGGAAAAATTTCTCGTACACGCTTCCGATCGTACGAGGAACTTGAAACGGCTCGAAACTAGCTGTCGCGTTTAATTTTGAAGAGAACGTTTCACTTACCTTGAAAAATGTACAAAATGTGGTTTCTTTTATAAAGGCCAATTTTGTGTTTCACGTCTCGACAAACTTCGCACGAAAAAGCAAAGGAAATGTTTGAAATAGCAGTACTATCCATTTTCTAGGCTTCGTCTGATTTTGAAAAGGCGATAATTGAGCCCCATTTCGATGCCTCCAACGTCGCTCGAAATTTTTATCGCACGCGCTGCGAAAAAGAAATTCAAGTTCCTTTCACCATCGATCAAGCAGCCGTACTTGCGCTTTTTAATCAGCAAAGGTGGCGAATTCGATAAAGGTCGGACAAAGAACGACGAAGATACGAATTGGAAAACGAAACTTGGAAAAGAAGGAAGAAAGATAGAGGAAATACTAAAACGCTTGGCAATTGCTCATTTGGCACTCTGAGAAAACGTACGATCGAGACGAAACAATCGGAGAAGGACTCATACGCGATCGTCCTTGCCTCCGGCACTAAACGCGCGAGAAATTATTAATTAACGCGGGAGTTTAATTCATCGCGCACAGGAAACGGCGTCGGGTGTCTGATTCGCCAATGTTGGTCGTCCAAGAGGAAGATCTTTCTCAAACTGATACATCCTCCCCAAAAGCGCTGCTGCGCGTTTTCCTGTGCATTATTTTTTAATTTTTTTTATTTTTTTTATTTCTCACCCCCCCTATTTTCTTTATCTCATTTTTCTTTGATTCTTCAACGAGTGGAACGAAGCTGCGTGACTACTTCAAAAATTAATGAATGAATATCATTCTCTACTCCTTATATTGTTTATTTATAACACGTAAAAAAAAAAAGTAACTAAGTAAATAAGTAAGAAACTGCTCATATTAGACATATAAACACTGTATCCTTTTCTGTCTCTAATCATGATATCTTTTTTCGCAGAGAATCATACCAAATAACTGAAAATGTTATGTATAAAAAGAAAATTTTAGTTTTTTTATAAAAAAATATTTAAAAGATTACAATTAATGTTATTTATATGCGTGTTATTTTCGTGCATTTCGAATTGATAAATATAACACTGTGCAGCAAAAGAAAATTCAAACATAAATGTTCCTCGATTTTTCAACGTAGCATATATTGTTAAAAAAATATATGCCTCGCTTGTATAAAAAAATGCATACTGTTGTGTCAATATTGCATGGAAACAAAACGATACTTTTTTGGTTTTATCAGACGTATCGGCCGATGAAGACAAATGAAATAAAGCCCCTACGCAAAGGCGAAGGCCGAAAGGAAGTAGTCGCGCAGCTTCATTCGTTTCTCATCGCGTTACGCATCACACACACCACACGCGGGGCATTTATATTATATTAAATCTCCTAAATATACCTCCCGACATACGGATTAAGTATACTTTTTTTTTAAATCGAAGTAACGTAAAAAAGGTACACGATCGACTATACTACCTTGAGAACGGTGGGCGGTCTGTTTGTGGGACGGCCGCTATTGGTGGACAGCAACGACCAGCATCGCCAGAAAAAAAGGAGGTTCACTTGCTCTCCAAACACACTTGTTTCTCTCCCACTTAATATATTATATACACTGGCTACTTCGGACGATCACGACTTTCCGCGAGAACCGTCCTCTATATAAGAGCGATGACGGGACGATCGGAGAAACGAGAGAGCCATGCACTTTTCGTCTAGACGAAAAAAAACCCGTGTGTGTACACAGCGGTAGTATCAAACAATTGGTTTCTTCTTACAATGAGTTTACTTTTATCTTTACGACCGGCGCGAATTTCGTCCTGTTCCTTAGCAACGCTCCTGTCCCGAAAGTCCCGCGGAAAGTCGCGACGCGCGCCCGATCGAATCAACGTTGAAAACCCATCGAATGAGTCGTAGATCCTTAAACAAAATCAACATGGCCGCCATAAACGTATAAACTAATAAAATGTAAAAAAAACAACGTGTTCTCGATTATCTAAGTAACAAACGATAGTTATTTCATCTTTCTTTCCCTCCCAATCTTTCCTAGAAAGTAGCCTTTTTCTTTTTCTTTTTTCTTTTTCCTTTATACACGTTTACAATAAAGAGAATCGACCTTTCCGTGTCTAATATCGTTTTCTCTCCGCCTAAATTTATTTCATGTATTTATTTTTCTTTAAAGTAATTTCAACTATATTATAAAACGGGAGACGGCGAAGCTGTCACACTTGTCGCCCGAAGTTTCCGGAAAGAAACCGTCCGAGAGATGTGATTCAGCTTTCGTAGTCGAAAACTTTTTTTCTGCATAAATGATGAAACACACGCAGATTTCTCCAACGAAAAAAATTTTACTAGTTAAAACTCACCTATATCAGAGAACTACGTCTGTGCAATGACACAATTGTCAAAACGTAGCGTATACTAATAATAAAAAAAAAGTTAATTGCCGTTTATTACGGCAAAACGCACGATAAATGCCTTAAGAAACTTTAAGAGCAACGTTATAGGGGAAAAAATAAAGCACACTAATTTTGCAAGTCTCGCCTCTCGCGCATCGTCAAAACGAAACGTCAATAATTCGACGTCTCCCGCTTAAGATCCATCTAGACAAACAAATCTACAATAGACGTTAAAAAAAGAAACATCTTAAATTTTAGTACTATGGGAATGCGCCAGGGGGCTCGGCGCGTACCGTCGTCGCATAGAATAGATTGCTAAAAAAAAATAAAAAATAATAAAAAAAAAAAAAAGAAAGAAAGAAATGGACTCCTAAGGAATTACGAAGAGACAACATCAGCTGTCGACCGAAATAAAAGCGTTTGGCGAGTTAATAGGAATTAATACATCGGTGGATCCGGCCGACAACACGCGCCAGGAAAACGATCGCGGCCCCCGTGCGCGTTCGCCATCGTCAAGTCTCCTAGAAGGTCGCGAGGGGAGGATTTCTAGAGCACGGTCGTCCGGAACAGGGAGATCGACTTGTAAAAGAGAGGATACAAGTCAGCCGCGGTCGTGCGCATACGGCGGCGGTTCGCTAAGTTCTCTAATGGTTACGGCCACTGGCTGTAGAGCTGAAACTGCTCGCGGGTGAAGCAGGCCGAGAGCGGTTTCACAAAGTGGGCGTCGACCGTCCTGCAGTGCGGGCAGCCAAAGACGCGGCTGTAGTCCGAGTAGAAGTTCAGTCGCTGATGAGGGTGGATCAGGGGCTTCTGGCAGCTGTTGCACTGGAACGAAAATGGTACGACGGGTGCGTTCATTTCGTGACGTGTTCCCTTCTCGCTTGCGGGCGGGCATGGCGAATCGGCGCGATAGAACGAGCGTGCGGCTTTTGATCGTCTAATTCGCCACGTATCGTAAGTTCGTATTATATCGTATTGTATCACAAAATTCACAAACCACGCGATAGTCTATCTCGAAGTCGTTAATTTGAAGAAAAAAAAAAAAGAAGAGAAAAAATAATAAGAAAGTGGTAAAATAAAACTCAGTATAATACCGTCGTGTAATTCGCATTGATGTTAAATTGAGATAAGTAAATAAGTGCAAAAACGAGCGGGAGATAATTTAAAGAATCTTCTATTTTCCGACAATCATAACCGTATAGATATTATGGCGTCAGAATGAGAAAAAGATCTTTTTTACACATATACGAGACACGATTTGCACACTACTCGCGATGCTGTATTAACACTCACGTGTTTGAAGGGTCAAAGTTCGACCGGGTCGACTAGTCACGAATTTAGAGCTTACCTTGAGTCGCTCGCTGCAGCAGGGCATTGCAGCGAAGATATCATAGCTGTACATGGTTCCGAGAACCAAGCTCGAGCCATCCCACGGCTGGGTACAGAAACGACACCGTACAGGCTGCCCGCCGCTGCCCTCCAAACAACTCATGCACACAGCTGACAAAAATTGTGTGCGACCTTCGACCTTCACCTGGAAAATAAAATATCACAAAACCGGACGTGAATTCTATTGGAATCTTGCACACGGAGTATCTAAAAATTTCGCTCGATATACAGATCTGAAAAGAATTCTGTTGAACCATCACAAATTAATTATGTAGGAATTTCAAACATCCTGAAAAATGCTGCAAAAATTTTGATATTACAACGACTATACTTAAACGTTCTACCTAATTACTTGGTCCAACCAAATTACTTTCAAATCTGTATCTTGTTAAATTTTTAGAGACTTCAGTAAAATCGTTCCTGTCCATGCAGAACCATAAGAATGTTGCAGTTAGATCACGAGCGCAAAAAATGCGACGGAACGTAAATTGTGATTTTAGCGTTTCGCACAGTTTTCGCTTGTAAATTTCTAATTAAATTGTTGATCAGCGTGCAGAAGTAATTTATACGTGTCGCGGACAGATACTGTGGGTATCTACTATGTTTTATTAAGGCATTATTGAAATGTTCTCCGAACATTCGACAAGTAAAAACAAAGTGTACTAAATTATACATCGATTGATTCTTCTTTATTAAATTGCTGCTTCGAGATAGCAATTCATTTGTGAATTAAAGTTTGCGACTAAACTCATTAACATTTTTATGTTGCTTAATTAAATATTTGTCTTTTTTCTTTCCGATAAGAAAATCGACACTTGTAAAATGTTTCGTGGGAAACATACCTCAGCGCAAGCAGGCGAATGTTGTCTGGGTGACAAGAAGAATGTCCCGTCCACCAACGGATACCTGTCGAAAACCAGCATGGCAGCGCGACAGAGGACACATGTAACTCGAGACCACTGCAGAGCGGCCAATGTCGATAGAATGAAGCATCTGGTGTCGTCGTTGCCGTGATTGCCCTCGTCTTCCATCTGAAAACAAATCGTTAACGAACACATCATTATATTGTGTGCGCAATCGTGTTGAATATATAAACATATAATACAATATATAAAAATAAAAGAGACTGTTCGTACTAGTAAAAAAGAGCTCAATTTATTTTTCTCTACAATTTACGAGGAAAATCAAAGAAATGTCAAGGAGAAGAATGAATTTTTCTTTCAAACTTATTACAAGTTTATATTCGAAGATCCGATGGGAAATGTCCCTAGGTAGGTATCGTGTCACGTATCGGGCAGAAAACTCCAAGTTACTTCGAGCGGAAACGTTAGTCGATAACGACATCTCTTATCCCTTCGTTCGATCTCGTTTCCCGTTTTACTCGTGAGAATGATAATAAATTTGAATGCAGAATTCCCCATCCGGTAACTCTTACGCGCGAAGTAATAATGCCGGCATCAACAAAGCTCATGCCCGCCCTGCTCGTTAAACCAGTTTCCGTGGGACGTTAGCCCTTGAAAGAAGAAGAGTACACGGGCCTCTCGAGATACCATTGCCGTAAAAAGACCGAAGGCGACGGCGAGGGTGGAAGATTCGAAGGATGCAACGTGGCGTGGGTCTCGATAATAGTGGATAAACTAAGAAGGCGGTGACTGAGAAACGCCATAAAGATTTTCGTGATGAGCGAGAGAGGGGAATAGATAGAGCTGGATGGAAAAAGGATGCAGAATGGCAAAATGCATTTCTGGATCAGCGCTAACTAACGGACGAAGGGAGAAGGACAACGAGATACGCAACGAGGTACTTTCAAAAAATCCGTCAGTGAATTTTAATAGTGTCTCGAAAGTCTGTTGAAACCAGGGTTGGCATTATTTTACCTATCCCAAAAAAAAACCCCCTGGGTTTTTTTTGGGTTTTACTGGGTTTTATTAGAATTTTGTATAAGAAAAGTAAATTTGTTAATCAGTAACACATAAAAGAAACGTATTTATAAATATTTAATGAATATAGGTATATTAAACTAACTAGACTGATACAATGTTAGCATATTATACCTATTTTAATATATACAGGGTGTACAAAAAGTCCCGGACCCCTTAAATTTAAATATCTTGAAAAGTACACATTTTCAAAAAAATTGTTTCAGAAAAAAGGTGTAGGGTTTAAAAAGTTCTACTAATCCGTCTGACCTTGGCGAAAATGTTTTTAAACAAAAATTTGTTTAAGCGTTAATTTTAAATATTAAATTATCCAAATAAGTATTAATATAGTTTTTAATACGTAGTATCATTATTTATTTTTTTATCTTTACTAGAAAGAACTTTGGTAGTCTAAAAATTTAGAATCTCGCACGGAATGTTAAAAATCCGGGTATAACTCCTAGCCGAGATAATATTTTTCACAATAAATAGATTTATTTATTAATTTCCAGCATTATGGACATTTCTTATTTTATATTTGTTGAGTTTTCATTATATAGAAGTTTTTTTTATATTTAAAAAATTTATCACTATTTTATGAACATTTTTACAAAATTTATTTATAATTAATTTTATTTGAATATGTAATTAAAATAATGATAAATACAACGTAAACTAAATGTTACGTGAAAAAAATATTAAATCAATTTTATTTTAAAAAACCCCTAAAAAATCCCAATAAAACCCAATAAAACCCCCATAAAACCCAGTAGGTTGAGTTTAAAAAAAAACCCGGGTTTTTTCCAACCCTGGTTGAAACAGACTCCTTCCGAGCTGGAGGTGGAATGAACGCTGGTGAGACGACAGTCGTATTGTAGTAAAGGAAGGTTTTAATAACGAACTGAAGAAGAGGACAAAAGTGGTAGTAGAAGAAGCACAAGTTAAAGAAACTGCAATAGAAAGAAAAATTGAGAGGTAGCCGCTTCGAAAAGGCCAGCGAAACGGCGACGAAGGAAGCGGAAACGAGTAGCTCTGCCGCCGACGAGGAAAAACGTCAGCAGACGACGTTTATAACCATAGTAAATAACCAATCTTTCTACTTTGATTACAAAGAAAAAAAAAATAGAATCAAATGACGAAAAAATGTTTGCAACGTTGATAAGTAGAGACAAGAATCTTCGTGTTATTTAATACTATTAGATAACTTTTACAATTAATAAAGATAATATAATCATTTTAAAGCTGGTTTTTCATTTTCTGGTCTAGACTTAAACTGATGGATATAAAAATTGTGTTTTTTTTTTTTAGTGTTTTATTAGTTTTTTAGTTATAAACATTAAAAATTATCACTGTTAAATCATCAGTTTAATAATGAATCATAGCTAAAAATATTATTAGGTCTAATTACAGATTAACTATAGGATAATAAAAAATTGGATTTAAATAAATAGTGATAGCGGCAACAATAAAGCAACAAAATTGTTAATATTTATCAATGTATCTTATTATTTATTTTATATCTAAATATACAGTGAGTATATAAGTACAGATTGAGAGAAATTTTTCTTATCTCCTTATTTATTTCAGAGGATCAGAAACATGGCTTTGTTCTCGTCGATACGTGACGTTCTGTTCATCCTCAAGATTCTTCGAAGATGAAAGTATATTTCCAGACTAGGCGGAGAAGGTTTTCGAGTACTTGGAGTGACCGCCCGAGGGTCATAAGTGAAGAGCAGGGAAAGAGAATGCGGGAATAAGTGGAAGAGAAAAGAGACATGAGGGAGAAAGGAGAAAAATATC